TATAAATACTAATTTTATAACCTATAAAGTGTTGTAAATTAATAGCAGCAATATTTTATGTATTATTAATATAATTCTGTTGAAAAAAATCTCTAGACTGACTATTTTTAAGTCAACCCAAAGTTTTGAAGTGTTATTTCTCATTAATTTCTTATTTTTGAGCTCTTGAGTTAACTTTCACTTAGAAAAGGAATTTCAAATACTTTAAGAAATAAGTAGTTGTTATTGAGAATAAAGTAATAACCCCAACTCAGTGTTCTCATTTATAAATAAGTAATTTGAGAGAAAACTATGACAGAATAGCAGCATATGTTAGGTTTTCCCAGTCAGAACATTTCTTTTTTTTCTTTTTTATAGGAATACAAACTCAGTTTCCACAATATGCAGAGTAAGCAGCTTTCAAAGAGCTACTTGGTAAGATAGCATTCACAGAGATTTAACTCATACTATAAATTAACTTAATGCTTTGAAATATACTACAAATACCTTGGCAGGTTTAAAGAAAACAAAATTGCCAGAAAGCCTGAATAGTGAATCTGACGCTATTTACTTTTCTTAAGTCGAAAAGTATATTTTCCTTTCAGCTTTGATATTTTAGTAAGGGCATGCATGCACACACACATACCACAAACTAATTCTAATGACTGAATGAACATTAAATATTTCAATCTGTAATTTATAAAAGAAATACAAACTAAGCAAGGTTATTTCCAATCCATTAATTCCCCACTGTTGATAGACAATTAGTGTTAAAACAACTACTTTTATATGATGGTTATTAACCTTTTGCACAATGGTGGACTGGTGCTTTAAAATTAAATTGAGCTAGACAGCTAACATTAATTAATTTTGCATTGTTAGATATATCTGAACAGTTCTAATTCATCCCAAGTTCATCTTACTTTAGAGAAAGGAAGGGGGAAATGTGGTCACCTATAGTTCTTAACTATACAAGTTCCCAGCGGAAGAATTTAACGTTCTTGATGATTCAACATTGATTGGTACATTTGATCCATAAGCTTAGCATGGAAAGCAATAGTACTTCAGAAGTCAAAGTCCATTATTCCTTGAGTTTAAGAAAAAATATTTATTTGAGGGATAAATTCTGCCATGTCTTAGGTAAGGCTTCAAAAATTTAGTGATACATCAGAGAGAATTAAGGAATCTCACCCATTATGAACACAAACCAAGGACATTCCAAGGATAAACCAAGATATTCCAAGCGAATGTATGTAATATTAAGTTGGACTAGATTCCTAAGGTTCCCTCTCTCCCTGCCCCAATTCTATCCTATTTGTGCAGAAGACCTTTATTTCATTGCAAGAAGTACCATAAATATATATATTCATGTGAATAAGGCTGCATAACTTGGTTGCCTACAAATGTTTCTACACTCGGAAGTTTCTTAAGTTATTTGAGAGTCCTTGCCAACTGTCATCATGACCTTTGTCCCTGACTATACTAAAGTTAACAAAGCAACAACTGAGAAGTCCACGATTTCTCCTTGTCACACATCAAAGGGGATATGTTAAGTAATTAAGCTTTCCTGCCTCTCCTTTATACAAAGTAGTGACAATTTCAATTTTTAATATAGTCATCTAATTATTTTCTAGTCTAAAGCAACATAACCTTCACTTAATCAGGTTTATCCTATCACCACCCACCACCCCCACTTAAAAAAAAAAAGTTCCTGGAGATTTAGAAAAGGAGAAAATAGCAATAATATAAATGTTTTAATTACTCTACAACCTGCTTGTCTCAAAGTATTTAAATATTAAAATATGAAAAGTCCAAATAGTAATGTCATGTAAATTAATTCATTTACTGGAAACCAAATTTTCTAATCTAAAATCTTCAATGAAATTTTTTAAAGTGAAAATTTAACAAGAATAAAATCACATTTTTCATTGGTTTTTACTAAACTAATACTGCTGGATGATCAAAATGCGGCAAAAGACCAAGTGATTTATAGTACTATCTTAATACCACTGAATTCTATTTTTACTTTATTCAGTGAAGCTTGTTTGATAATATTTAAATATATTTTTGTAATTTGTTTTGCATGTAAAATTAGATTTCAAAATTATAAAGATTACATGACTACTTGCACAGAAATTTGGTCTGTGTGTAAATATTCCAAGGTGAGACTTCATGTTTTCTACTTTAAAAAAAGTTACCCCTGTGTTTTTAATAAAAATGCCTTCTTAAGCACGCTCACATCTACATACACACAGCCTTTTCCATATTATGTTTGCATTGTCAGAGGTGAATTACTAATTCACCTGAAAGATTAATTTTATTAATAACTTATATGTTCAGTTTAAATAAGTAATAACATTCTCTTAATAACTAGTTTGAAATGTTAACAAGTCTAAGGCTATTAACATAACTGGTTATTAAATGTGGCGATGATCAGTTAAGAAGAAATGGCATTCTGATCAACAACTATATAATCATTCAGGATGTAGGATTTTAGAAAGTATATGGAATTTTCAAGAGCTGAAAGTTAAACAGCATTGTATCATTTAGCAAGCTTGAAATCAAAACCACTAAAAATTTGGGTTCCATTATAGTGAGGTCAATCATGAAGGCAGAACTATGACAGAAAAATACAATGATTTAATATGTGCAGTAAGACACTTACTTGAATGTCAAATACCATGTTTAATATTTTACTAAAATCCATAGATGGGAAATGGTTAAAACTTCTTTGGAAGGCAAATTAAATTCATACTGATGCAATAATGTTCATTTTGCTTTATTACATCTGGAGATATTTTGTCCAGAGGTAATGTTGAAATTTTTTTTTTTGTAAAGCAAAATTTTAGCTGAAAAAGGAACCAGATATTGGAGCTCTGTATACAATTTGGAAAATTTTGATTCCAACTGAAATGGTACATTAGTCCATATAATTCCTGTTCAGGTTAACCAAGAGTTTATTTTAAGGAATTTTAATGTAAATTAATCTGAGAGACTGTTAGCAAATATCATGAGCACAACATGCCTATGGGTAAGGGTTTAAATAATGTGACTGCTTGTCAGTATAGCAGTAGTAAAATTATTAGGGTGATAAATCAGTTGCAAAAGATCCAGCTACTTTTTGGGCGGAGGATCAGGAAATAAAGCTAGTTTACCAGTAAACTGAGGGGAAGAAAAACTATGATTTCAAATCTTAACTATGTAAATAGGCATAGTTCTATTATCTAAAACAATTACCAGTTATTTGCATCAGTAATAATCAAAGAGCAAAACCAGAGTTATAATTAAGGCATAAAGTGGTAACTGGGGCTTTGCCCTGGGCACCAGAATTTAGAGGGTACAAAAATTCAAAACCTCATTTTCTTCATCAGGATAGAAGCCACCATAGTAACTAACTGTCTCTTCCAGTTCAAATGAATTTTCTTTTTTATGTTATTTTCATATCATGAATTACTATATCCCCACCTACCAAAAAAAAAGTTGATTTGATGGCTGATTAGTGCTGCTTACTCCAGGGTGTCAAAATTGCTACTTAAAGGTTTGACTAAGTCATTTTAAACAGCCACTTCTCAGTTTTAGATTCACTTATTTTGAAGACCAAAAGTTCACAGCACCATAGTAAGTAACAACACAGAGTAATTCAATATACTCTGCATCACCTGGGAACATAGTATTGGATAGCTAGAAAGCTTTTGTACCATCTTTAAGGATGGGACCCCAATTAAAATGAGATGTTGTCATTTGTGAACCTGCATGAAAATAAGATTGGGTTACTCCGTATAGGAATTTTATAATCTCCCCAAAAAGGTCATCCACTAAAAAGTATGACATAAGTTGACAGAAATAAATTCATAGCTTTACTAATTGATCAAGCTGTATTTCTGACGGGGCTTTACAAGCACAGTTTGATTTAAGTTTCCCACCAGAGCATCAGCACAGGAACAAGAAGTCATCACTTTAAGTCCATCGCCAATGTGAAGTTTCAAATGAGTCTTTCCTTATATAGTAGTTTTCTACTGGGGAAAAAAAAATCAATCCACACTCATTTCTGAAATTCAGAGCATTGTGCTTTGTGAATTGACATTTTGGAACTTACTGCCTATCCAAGGGCGGGGAACTCTGGAATGAAAAAGACTTATTAGAATGAAGTTTTACCTGACTGCTAGCTTCATAACCACGGGCATCAGAACACTCCTATATCTCTTCAGCTGTTTAACTTACAGGAGATATGTCATTTGCTAATGGTAAAGTCTTTTAATACCCTGCTTTTCATAGAGTTACTGGCAGGTTTAATGTTTAAAGTTCAGGGTTATTTTTTATGCTAGTCAGTATAACTTTTGGGGGAAGGAGAACCTGAATAACACGTATGAACACACACTAAAATCTTTTACCAAACTGCAAGGCAAGTTCTTCAAAACTAGCATTGGTTAAGAATTTCAAAATTATATTTACATGAAAGATGAATAATTGATCAGTTCTTTAGATTACTAATTCTTCAGGTCCAAATAATTACCAGTGACAGAATTATTTCACACAATGCTTTCAAAACTTTTTTTAAAAACAGGGTTCAATAAAATCAAGTACTCAGTTACATATTTGTGTGTGTGTGTGTGTGTGTGTGTGTGTGTGTGTGTGTGTGTGTTTGTCATAACCTTAATCTACCTACCTATTTCCCTCTTCCCCTCTGTTGAAATTATGTGTGTGGACAACTTTACAGATACAAAAAGACATTGTGTATGTCTATACGTATATGTATATACAACACATTCACATCTGATACTTTCTGGCAATTTCAACAGACATAGGGAATTGATTTTATAAACTGAGTAGACTAGGTAACAACATACTGCTGATATCCAGTGTAGTCATTTTTTTATGCTATAACATGATCAAAACATAGAACAGTTCTGAGGGTTGAGCTCAGCATCAGTCATTTGGTGGGGGATGCTGTGAAGGAATCCATAAAAGCTGGTAATTTCTTAAAAGTCTAGTCACCTCTGGTATACAAGGATAATGCCTACCTCAGATAGTCTCTGCGACAAAGGATAAGGTTTGCTTTAGTGTACAGGGTGGAGCCCACCTCTCCCAACCGACAATCACAGCAAGCACACTTCAGACAGTCTTCATGCCAATATTTGTCCAGGGCCTTCAGGAGATATCGGTCCTTGATTTTACGGTTGCAGCCAGCACAACCTTTCGGCTTGGTGTCTGGCTGGACTGAGAGCATTTGTATACCTAAGAAAGTTGAGAAGAAGAAAAAAAGGAAATAACTGGGACTATCAGATGGAATGAAAAGACAGCAAAGATCAAAATCAGACTCCAAAAATTCAGCAATGCTTTCTATAGAAGTACAAGGTCTTATTTTTTTATTCTAAGATGTTTACTGAAAATATAAAATTGGACTTAGGCTGTCATTTACACTTTATACTTTCTTCACTCAATTTCTTTCCTCATCTATTTGTTCATCTTCCAAGTATCAAGTGATAAAAATACTATATTTATGCATATGTGTGTATACACATATATTTATATGTATATTTCTATATAGGTATATGCTTATATGTGTATATATGTATGTGTGTATGTGTGTGTGTGTGTGTGTGTGTATATATATATATATATATATATACACACATATATATATACACACATATATATACAAACACATATGTGGAGAGAGGGAAAGAAAGAGAGAAAAAGACAGAGAGAGAGAGAGAATATTCATGTCATGGTAATCAGCTGTTATAAATATGAAGCTAAGTAATATTAGATAATTGTATAATGTTTCTGCTCCTGAATAGAACATTTCCCTTGGGGAGCGAATGTGATTAAAATTCTAAACAATTTTTAAAGAAATCTACTTAATAATGCACTACACATAAATTTGCCCTCCAGTATATAAGTGTCAATCTTGAAATATCTGAAATAGCTAGGTTAAAATAACCACTTAATGTGTATTTGGTAGTAGGAAGAGTATGGTGTCTCCTGTGTGGAGAAAGGAGTTAGCTTACAGTAGTTGAAGGGGTATATGACACAAAATTTTGTAACAGATCAGTTAAAGATACAAACATTCCTAAATAATGGACATTTCAATATATGGTCCTTATGTTAAAAGAGAGTATAGCTACCAGTGCCTATATTACAATCATATAAACTATGCATTTTAACATATCAAGTTACAATTCTAACAAAATATTAGATAACACTTTAAAAGGGTATCAAGGAAGGGCCAACTGTAGTTATATTTCCACCTCAAAGGTCAGTATCAGAAGACAGACAAGAGGCATTAATCATTCCTTACCAAATTTTTTTTAAAGTCATCTTTTCATAAATGTATATATCTGGTTACCAGTTATCATGAATGAGAGATGTCTATCCAGTTCTACAACTTGGCCATACTCCTTTTAAAAAAAATTTATTTAGTATTTTACTTTTCCCCAATTACATGTAAAAACAATTTTTAAAATTCATTTTTAAAACTTCAAGTTCCAAATTCCCTCTCTTCCTCCCTTCTCCTCCGCCCTCCCCCATTGAGAAGGAAAACAATTTGATATAGGTTATATATTTGTAGTTATGCAAAACATCTCCATATTAGTCATGTTGTAAAAGAAAACATAGACAAAAACCTCAAGAAAAATAAAGTAAAAAACAAAAGTTATGCTTCAATCTGTATTCAGACCCCATCAGTTCTTTCTCTGGGGAGGCATAGCATTTTTTATCATAAATCCGTCAGAGCTGTCTCAGACTATTGTATTTTGGCCGTACTCTTGACAGTAAATTAAAATACACTCATTTTTAAGATTCCCCCTTTTTCCTAAATTGATTTGTACTGAACATACACCCTCTCCATAAAGTCAAATCATAGAACGTTTAAACTGAAAAATATCCTCCATTCTCTTATGTGGAGCCTCCTCCCAATCCCAAATACAGGAAATGAAGAAACAGAGGCCAGGAGAAGTCAAGTGGCTTGTTCCAAAGTCACACAGTTATTTAATGTTACAACTAAGATTAGAATCTTTGTCTCCTGAATGTTTTTTTCACTAATTCACTGTTTCACAAAAGTACTGAAGCCCAAACTTGGAAGCAGAGAAAAGGATGTTTTACACTAATTGTGCATGTTCTTACTAACTACTTTAAGAAAATAAAGGCCACATTCTACATCTAGCTATGCTCCATTCCACCCCCCCCCCCAATTATATAAGTTTTCTTCAACTTTCTACAAGTGACATTATGGTAACTGTTCTACCACAGCCTTTAATAATTCTGCTTCAAATTACTTAGACAAAGAGAAGATACATTCAACCTACACAGCTTTTTGTAAGAGAACACTTTTTTTTTAAGGAATGGTGAACATTTGTTAGAATGAAACTTCCATGGCTAAATTTTTTTTGGTTTAACCAGAGTTCCAGACTAGATGTTGAGTTAAGAGTTCTTTGTACAGAATAGCAGGCAGTATCCCTGTGGCCTGATTCCTCTCCTTTGAAGGAACTAAGAACCTAGGATAGCTCAATCATGACCCTTAGTCATCCTGCTAAAGCTTACTTTCTAGAACTTCTATCAAATGAAGATTCTTTGATCGTAACTGGTTGTTTCTAGTATGGTTCTATGGGGAATAAATTCCATCAATTACAACATACCACATTCCCCAATGTCCTTAATACCTGAATAGGGGAAGCATTTTAATTTAATAAATATGGTTCTGGATTACAGAGGCATATACAGATTTGGTATATGTGGAATCAAAGGTTTGAAAGGAAGACTGCTCTACTTTCTCCAGTTTGTAATTCCTGTTTGTTTTTGAGCGTTAGTGCCCAGAAAAATTAGGAGAAAACTCCCATCTGAAAAACCAACTAAGCTATATTTCCCAGTTATGTTACAGCCATAAAGAATATAAGGCCAAATCTCTCACTCAAAAATCTCCAGACAGTAGAAACTAGTCTTTATGAAAATTAGAAAACAGATTACTTATCTCCAAAAAAAAGATGTTTTTTGTTGTTGTCTTAACATTTTAAGTTAGCACTCAGAATTCAGCTAATGTTTGTACTTAATAGACTATATGACCCCTAGGTCATTTAAGCACAGGAGTAGGATATTCTATATTACATTATGTGGCTTCCTTTTAGAAGGATCATATTGCTCCTAAAATTAAACATTTCAGCTGCTAGTTGTAGAAAATGGTTATTTCACAATTATTCTGCCACATATATAGAATTTATAAAGTAGTCAGCAGATTTCCCTGACCGTTCAAAAAAAGGTCTTTGTAAAGTTACATGTTCATAAGCCAAGAAACATTTCAGAAGTTTCTTATAGCACATCAGGAGTCATAACTAGTTTTAGATTGGCATGTAAATTGTTCTGAGGGAAATTCTTATTGCCTTTGAGACCCTGCTATTCCGAGTTATTTGACAGTTTAAGGGAAATCAATTTTTTTTTTAAAGACAAATAATGGCCTGTGCAGTATGGTGTTCAGAAATAAGTAGAACCATTTCATTTAAACTCTGGTGAGCTTTTAATTGCCTGGATTGTATTGTGAGCCAGCCTAACGGTTGATTGCCTCCATTATGCTCTCTTGTTCTGTGCTATTCATCCGCAAAGTCTCAGCTATAGTAGTTAACACAACAAAGTAACCACAACTCTATAACATGGGGGTTCTTTTTTAATAAAGAGATTTTCAACACTTAGAGACACTGCCTTTCAACCAATAGTATATATTCAGATGAAAAACTACTTTCCCACTTACAGAAGTCTCTCTGTTTCTCTCTCTCTCTCTCTCTCTCTCTCTCTCTCTCTCTCTCTCTCTCTCTAAAGGGGAAAGGAACAAGAGGTAAGGCTACACAGCAGGTTGACAGCTGAGGTGAGTTAGGAAGATGCTAAAATGAGAATGCATGTCCCATACCTAGGAGCCCTAACACAGATTAAAAGAATTTGACCAACAAGGCTATTCAAATGCTGAGGGGTACTAAACAAAAGATTTTCTTTTTTTACCCCCTCCAATCCCCAAATCAATCCCTCCCCTACCCCATTTGAAAGCTGGATTGGGCCTAAAAGCTTGTTTTCCTCTGTTCAGTGGCCCAGAGCATCCCTGCAGGCTGTAGCCCCCTAAGGGACAACAATGCAAATAGATGTCCCTATATCTCAGGGACTGGAGCTGCATAACTCCGTTCTACCCCTTCAACTCCCTCCTCCCCACCCTCTCAACCCCCCTTCTTTTTTGAGCAATGGAGCTGGGAACCAATTTGATTCCCTTTTTCTCCAATGCAGCTGCAAGGCTCAGAGATACTGACATTTTTCCACTCTTATCAGTTTAATTACAGTTACCATGGCAGCAAAGTGCTAGTGCTTGGCAAAGGCCAACAAGAGATTTGCAAGACTGAGTTCAATTTTGATGCAGCTCACATGCAAAATCAAAAAATAAGAAACATACATACAGTATAACAAAGAATTCCTTTTGGGTTTACAATCCAGCCTCTTTTGTGGCAGTGTCTTTTCAGCCACACAGGGATGATTTGCAAAGAATGTAGCAATATTTGTTGCACCTAGCAAGATTAATTGGTTTAAACAGCAGTCTTTCAAAGCAGTTACAGCAAAAATATTTCGGATATCTTCAGAAACACACTAAAGGAACATTAAAGCCAGGTTGCTGCAAAGTACAGCTACGACATGATAGTAACCTTACCAAAACTTTTCTCCTTTTTCTGCATGAGTTGATTTAAGAATGCCTGAGTAGCAGCTTCTCATTGGATTTGGTAATCCAAGGAAAAGTGGTAGCGTCCCTTTTGCTTTGGCTGAAGTGAGAAGCTGGTGTTCAGATACACAGTCGAGAACAGACTATTGTGCACCCACTTTGGGAAAGGGTCGGAGTGTCGACAGGGGGTGGGGGGAAGGGAGAAGGGTTGACAGACAAGACAACACGCACAAACTGAACCACTTGCACCACTTGCAATGTGGCAGCGTTCAAAATGATGGCGAATGACAAAGCCACATGTTTCCCTAACTCTGTCCGTAATCCTATAATCCCAGCGGTCTCTTTTAGCTTCGTTTTAACAAATGGATTTGATTAAACTGTCACATGCAGCGTTAGCATACCATATCATGTTCAATATGAAAAAGATCATAAATCTGACTTGTATTTCATAATAGCAATCTGTATAGCCTCCAAAAATGCGCCGCATCAGTCTAATATTGGGCTATTAGTCCATCGGCACCTCATTTCACTGAATCTCTTTCCCCTTCCCAGGTTCCATCCATACCCAACACCCATGCACTCTAGACACTTTGCTACCAGAAAGGACTGGACAGTTAAGTGAAATGATGTGTTTACCATATCTATTTAGAAAGGGAAAACGAGTGTTATGAAGAACGAAGACTCTCCTAATTAAACTACTGGGGGGTATTAGTGGCAGAATAGAAGCAGTCACTGAATCGTATCCCACAAAGCAAAAATAAAAATCCACCTATCACTCTATCCCTGGTCCCACTGACCCTAAAATTCTCTTAAGAACTGCAAACCCCCCCCCCCCCATTCTCTGCCACAAAGAATAAGCGTGTGGAAATGCTGCAGTTCATTGTTAACTTTGACTCTAATACTTGAGATGTTCAGCGGAGGAGCTTCTCTCCCTTCTTCCATCAGCATCTTCCGATTGCATGTATTTCATGTCTCATCATAAAAATAATGAAGCCTCACATGATTTAAAGAAAATCGTCTCAGCAGAGCTGCAGCTTGAGCGAAAGTTACAGTGCAGAAGACGATGTGTTGCGGCTCTAGTTTATACCTCATTAGGAGAGGCAGAAAAAAAATGCCCACATAACACACGCACGCACGCGCACACATACACACACCACAAATAACCCAAAGCTTGTGTATACAGTTGCTTCACTTACCTTCTCAATTAAGCAATACAGGGGGAGGCAGTTCAGTGAGCACAGTGGCTGCTTTGTAGCTCTTCTCCTTGGGAAAGGTCAAAAAGAAGCATTGTTTGAAAAAAAAAAAGGACAGGGGAGGGAATCGCTATTCTTTAAGTTTAAAATAATGAGGTCCTCAAGGATCCGCCAAGTAATTGTGTTGACCACATCTGAGCTACAGGTGTCCTCCTTTTAGTATCTTACAGTCCACGGCTGTCTTTCTCTGTCCTGGCTCAAGACAACTTACCTAAGCAGCGTGTGAGGAACCAAGCTGAATGAAGCCAGGGCTTTATCAGCTGCAAAATGCAATCCCTTACCAGCCAGACATAATACAGCAAAAGAAAAGGTCACTCAGTTATTACTGAGCCAGCAGAGCCCAGGCAGCTCTTGTCAAGACCATAGAGAAGCAGCTCCCTTCCGATTTAAGACTATTTACCTCTCACCCCCCATCCCCCGCCTTCTTCTTTCCTTCTCTCTCTCTCTCTGTCTCTCCCGTCCCTCCCTCCTTCGTTCGCTCCCTCTCGTGTTCTCGTTCTGCAGCTCAGTCAAGTACAGCCGCCCTCCGAAAGTGCAAAGCAGCCAGGAGACAGATTGGGCTTTGTTGGTAATTTCCCATGGTGAAAATTTACAAGCCTGCTAGTGCAGTCAGCAAAACCACATGCATATGCTAGACACAAACACCAGGGACAACCCCTCACAAAAAGAAAGAAAGAAAGAAAGAAAGAAAGAAAGAAAGAAAGAAAGAAAGAAAGAAAGAAAGAAAGAAAGAAAGAAAGAAAGAAAGAGAGAAAGAAAGAAAGAAAGAAAGAAAGAAAGAAAGAAAGAAAGAAAGAAAGAAAGAGAAAAAAGAAAAAGTGACTTGTACAGAAATCAACTTAGAAAGGACTCTATATGTCCCAGCACATTCAAAATGAAACTCCAACGGGGGAGAGGGGGGAGGCGGGGGCAGGAAACAGCAGATAATAAGAATTTCTTTGAATAACTACGGTATTTTGCAACATCTGGCTACATTTAAAACAAACTGTCCCCAACAGTCACTCATGAAGCTAATAATTATGGAAATTTTTAAAAAAATACAGTTAAAATATCACCTAAGATTTTCAGAATTAGCTAGAAAAATATTACCCTCCTCTACTCTAGGAGTATTTGGGGGGTGGGGAGAAATATATAATTATATATATAATTACACACACACACACAGAGTAGTTTGGTCTCTAACTCCCATTCATAGTCTTGAAAACTCTGCTCTGTAGGTCTGCCACACACAGGCCTCTTCCTGCCTATAGTCTCAGGCTACCCCTCCTCTTCATTCTAATGGCCTAACCTACAGTGAACTTGTGGCCCAACTTAGCCAGTTCCTTTCCAACAAACTCATTAAATTTACTTTAAAACTCTTAAAAAGTCTTAGAGTCTAATCTATGGGGTTTTTTTAAGTACTCTATATTCTCTGCTTTACTACCAACTTGGTCAAAACACAATTGGGGTACTCACAAGCTTTCAGAGTTCTCAAATAATTTGCTGTGGTACCTGCACAAGGCTTATTTTGAAGGCATTAAAAAAAAATATTTACACCAATGTCTACTCCTCCCCTTCCCTGCCTCATTTATTTCACATTCCTTGAAAGGCTGTTGGCAGCTGGAGAAAAAAAAAAAGAAATTATTTCTCAAAATTTCAAAGTTACTCTCTCTCATCAGGTTAAAAGCCCTGACATAGGTCAGGCTTAAAATTTAGTCTAAATTTAAATGACAATAAGTCTTTAAAGAGCCAAGCAAGATTCAGTGAAGTACTTCCAACTTCCTCCTCCCCACCATCAGTTTAACCTACAAATAACAGTTTAAAAACAAACAAAAAAGCAATTAAAAAAATGAATTTTGGGCTTTACTTTATGCTTCAATGAATAAAAATTGATAGTACCAATATTTTATCCTCCCCACTCCCCACCCCGCAAAAACCCTTTATGATGAAATTATCATATGGCCACTTTTTTTCTCCCTTTAAATAGTAACAAAACTCAGAACTAACCTGAAAAATAACTGAAAAATCACAGACAGCAGGTTAATACGACCCCCTTCAGCTGATTTGATCTGTACATAAGCAGATTTCTCAGCTTTTGCCTTTCTCTCCTACTTATTCAAGCACACATACACCTCATCTGTATGAAGAGTTCCTTGCTTATACCCTACCTTTGCTACAACCACTCTGAAAACACACCAGTGTCTCTCACTCTCTCTCAACCAATGCACTGAGAAGAAGAAAAGAGGGAGGGAGAAGTATGTGTGGGGAAAGGGAGAAATAAAATCAAAACAAATGGTACAGCTAATGAGGACAATTAAATTAATTATGTTCAAGGAGATGAGATTTTTTTTCCCTCCAACTGTATGATCTGTTACCCCTCGCTGGCAACTGCTGCTCTGTAATTCATGGCAACTGATTAGTGCATCTATGCAAATCTTTGTTTAAATCATTCAACTAATTAAATGATGGGATTATTCCTCTGCCTACGGTGACATCATTCGAAGTAATTAGTACTCTATTTGGACTGTGGCAGTAAGATTCCTGATATCAACACCAACCTGCAAAGACATTAACCACTTTGTCACTTTTTTTTAAGGGACAAACACCCAGATCTCTAATTACATGTGTTTCCCCCCTCCTTTAACCCCCAATCTTCCTTTCCTTCCCTGTTTTACCCCTCCCCCACCAATCAGGAATATATATTTATATATAAGAAAGGGGAGAAACTTGGTGAATAATATGCCAAACCACATGTGTAAAGGAATAAAATGGAATAGTTAACATTCAGCTCCACGCCATTCATTTTCCCCTAAAATGTAATGATAATTAGATGGGTCATAAAATGCTCTTCTTTTCATTATGACTGATGAAATGCATTAAAGTTGACAGGGTATTACCTGACAGTAATTAGGTTTTGTCATGAATTAAATTATTTGAAAGCAGGCTATCTCCCCAATCAAGCAATTTACAGCAAGATTTTTTTAAATCTGTGCTACATAAGAGAGATAGAAAATAGCAGTTTTTCTCTTCATAATCATATGAATTATTCACCAAAAAAAAAATCATCAGGAAAAAAACCCGTGCAGATGAAGAGGCTTGCCACTTAATGTACTGCACAGATGTGATCATCAGCAGTTGCCGACAATGAAATATACAAGTGCACACAAAGTGATCTGGTGAACAAGAGGTGGAATTTAATCATCTTCTGCTGACACTTCGCAAAAAACACCATTAACCCTCAGCAAACCCCCTGTTTTCCCTGCTCAACTCCCCCCGCCTCACCCCTCCTGTGAAAGGGAAAAAAAAAGTGAAAAAAGAATTTGTGCTTTTGTTTACTCAGCCAAGCTAAAGGTTGGTTCCAGCCAGGCAAACAGTTTCTTCATTTCCAGACAGTAAACTAGCCAGTTTAATTACAAATCCTTAGGAAACCTTTGCAAAAGGACTGCTATTAAGAGACACTTTTTGGGGGGGGAGGGGGTTTAGTTGCAGAGCTTGAGCTCTGTTTCAGAAGCTCATCATACTTTCCATTTGATAAGAGTATTTAATCCACCCAACCCCCTAAAAAAATCATAATGCCATATCCAATATTCTTAACTCTAATGTCTTTGAAGGAGGGGAAGGGATGAAAGAATGAAGGAGGTAGGGGCAGGGCATGAGGCAGTGATAACCGGGTGTGTAAAACTTACCTTTTTTCAAAAGAAAGCTTCCACGGGAAAATATATTTCTAAATATATCCTCAAGTTCTCAGCTTTAAAATGTACTTCCGTTTAATTTTGTGTATGCCCCTTCAATAATTATTTCTGCAGTGTCCCACAGAGGATGCTGTTATGTTGCAGTCTCTTTTAGGGCAACAAAAAGGGTAGGGGTGAAGGGTAAGGGTAGGAAATCCTATGTTCAGAGTCCAATTTAAAAGAAAAGTCTCAGTCAAGGTAAGTATGAAGTTAGTTCTTCCCCTAACTCCACCATCATTCTCCAAAATTCAGCCACACAAATGCAATGAACACCTAGGTTCGTTCTGCCTTTTTTATTTGCTCTTCTCTTCCTTACTTTCTTCCCGAACTGCACAGAACCTGAGTGGGCCAGCTCTGCTCCTCCTGTATTTAAACACCTCACCAGGTCCCTAGTTAGCA